ATGTGGGATTTGGCATTAGGGAAGAGTTGGGTTTAGTTAGGGATGAAAGAGAGCAGACAGTGTAGGATTTGGCATTAGGGAGGAGCTGGACTTAGTTAGGGATGAAGGTGATCAGGCAGTGTAGGTTGAGATCCTTGTTCTGGGCACATGGTGATGAGCTTTGGTTTGGGGGCATCCTGAGCACAGAGTGAGAACCTCAGCAGAAGTGATTTCTACATTTTGAGGGTTCAACCAAAGATTGTGCTATTACGTAACCCAAGCCTCTGCCCCCATTCTTTATGGGCCTGTGTGGAGGCAAGGATGCTCTGAATCCTTATGTTCTGAATCACTCAGAGGTTGCAATAGAAATGGGTAACGTGGGAATCCGGACTTGAAAAGGGAATGATAGCATTGCAAAGCCTGTGTACACCATAGGGGCTGATTTGTGAGTAATTATTCAGATGCAGCTACATAATTTGTATTAGAACCCATAAGTTTAGGACAGAAGCTTAAAGTGTCTAATGAGCGGACAGTTTCTGTCTGCCAGCATTGCCCAGTGGAACTCCAGCAGTGGTGTGGTTGCTTTGTTTTGTGTTATCCAAGATGCGAATCACAGATGCCTGCTGAGTAACTGGAATGTGGCTTGTTTTATTAAAGAATGACTCTTAATCACTGCTTAACCATAAATAATTGAAATCAAAATAGTTCTGTGAGCTAGTGTTCACTGGGTTGGATGCTGCATCTCTGGATCTTTCTACCCCTTACACTCTCTGTAGTATATATCTTTATAGGGTGAATCCCAGGAGCTTGTAGAGAAAGTTTTCAGCTCGGCGGTGGTGGCGCACGCCTTTAATCCCAGCCCTTGGGAAGCAGAGGCAGGTGGATCTCTGTGAGTTTGAAGCCTGTAACTGGAAGTTTCTCATTCTACCTGGTCCTGCAGCCACTCCTAAAATAACCACTCAGAGGCTTAATATTAATTACACACTGTTTGGTCTGTTAGCTCAGGCTTATTATTAACCAGCTCTTACAACTTAAATTTACCCCTATTATTCTATATTTTACCACCAGGCTCGTGACTTGTTACCTCACGTCTTACTTCTCTGGCAGTTGCTGTATCCCTCAACTCTGCCTTCTTTCTCCCTGTATTCAGTTTGACTTTCCCACCTTGCTATATTCTACCCTGCCATGGGCCAAAGCAGCTTCTTTATTAAACAATGGTAATGAAACATAGTCACAGCATACAGAGGGGGATCCCACATCATTGTCCAGCCTGGTCTATAGAGTGAGTTCTAGGACAGCCTGTCTTAGAAAAAAAGGGGAGGAGGATAGGGAGAAAGAAAGAAAAGTTTTCATCAGGAGAACCAAGCTGGAAACAAGATTTCTTTCTTTCTTTTACTTACTTATTTTTTTTGCAAAACGACTCTTACCTACTAACCACAGAAATAGCATTGGTGGGAAAGAGAACATAGACCATGTTGGGTATGCTCTGGAGAGAACATAGACCATGTTGGGTGTGTTCTGGAAAGAACATAGACCGTGTTGGGTGTGTTCTGGGGAGAGCATAGACCGCGTTGGGTGCGCTGGAGAGAACATAGACTTTGTTGGGTATGCTGGACAGGCACAGCCATAGGAAAGATGCCTCTGTCTTGGGTAGAGCGTTGACAGCTTGAGCACACTCCCTCTGAAGCAAACCAAACTGTTTGGCCAAGGCTACACTTTAATTCATTCAATTTGTCTTCATTTTACAAGGTGGAAGCCTCCTCCATCTCCCCTGCTGGCCCTGTGCACATTTTTAGTCTCAGAGAAGCACGCAGGTGATCAGTCCCTCTGGAAGTCTTACCTGGACATTTTACCCACTTCCTACACCTGCCCGGTCTGCTTGGAGCCGGAAGTGGTAGATCTTCTGCCTGAACCTTTAAGGACAAAGGTGGAGGAACAGAGAACCCACGTGCAGGACTTCTTTACCTCCTCCAGAGCCTTCTTTGCATCCCTGCAGCCTCTGTTTGTGGAGTCTGTGGACAGCATTTTCAGCTACAGTGCCTTTCTGTGGGCCTGGTGCACTGTGAACACCAGAGCTGTGTACCTGCGGTCTGTGAGGCAGGAATGCCTTTCTGTGGAGCCAGACACGTGCGCGCTCGCTCCCTACCTGGATCTGCTCAACCACAGCCCACATGTCCAGGTGAGAAGCTGGCATGGACATGTGTCCTGTTGTTTTGGAATTCCAACATGTGGAGTCGAGAATGAAGTAGTGGAGGTGTAAGCTGCTTCAGGTAATCGTGTTAGACCAGTCTGCCTGCAGCCACATTTTGTTCCCTGCCTTGAGTCATTCTAACAAGTGTCTCTGCGTTTGTACCGCACTGCTCTCCAGGCCTGCAGGGCCCTGTGCTGAGCCCTGGACCTTCCGGCCCAGACTGTCTTTCCTTTCCAGCCTTCAGGACCGGGGTGGTGTCTAGCTTTCCTTCCTGCCCCTCAGGACCAGAGTGCTAACTTTCCTTCTTGCCCCATCCCTTATACACTTGGTGGTGTAGCTGTCTGCCCATGTGTCTTTGTTCTGATTGGGGATTGTCTGTGCCTCCTCAATGGACTCAAGGCTTTGCGGCCTTCTGTTGTTCCTCTTTGAAGCCTCAGTGGCCACTTGATTATGGAGCAGATGAGAACCTGTGTGAATTGGAGTCTGCGGGCCATGAAAGAACTCCTAGTGATAGCCATATGCCCTCTCCCTCAGCCCTTTCCTCTCGGGTACACACTGGAGATGCATGTGTTTGCATGGTATGCTGGGAGAAATACTAGCTGAGGAAGGCCAGACTTGGAGGGCCAAGAAGAAACCCTCTGTCAGCTCTCCCAAAACCTATTTAGGGTTTGGGATCTGCACCTTTGCTGTCTCCTAAGAGACATGGCACCAGGAAGAGGTCAATGTCACCTTGTCATTTCACACGACGGTGGGAGGACCCTGGAAGGTCCTGCTTGTCTTCTTGGCCCTGGGAAGCATTTCCCACAGTCTCCAGAATGCAAGTCCAGTGTTAGGTGAAAGGTCATAGGATGCTGGACGTAGGGCATCAGTCCCCAGCCACTTCACTTGGCTCACGGACTATAAACACATGAAATTGGGGCCAAGACCAGCCTCACAGCTTTTGACAACCGATGGGTCTTAGCACCACCACATTGTCTTCCACTCCTGATCAGAGTCAGAGGTCGTGTGTTTGGCCATTTTCAGAGCCTGTGGTTGGACCTCCTCCCTCACCAGCAGGTAAAGGTGAGATGAGGAAACAGGCCCAAGTGCAGCAGTACCGTTTCCCACCTGTGGCCGACTTTGTCACCAGGCATTCCAAACTGCATCGTACTACAGTTAATACTGTACTTGGTGAGCCTTTGAGATTTTGGTTAAAATGAGAAATCTTATGCCTTTCCCCTGTAGGTAAAAGCAACATTCAATGAGAAAACTGGCTGCTATGAGATCAGAACGACTTCACGCTGTCGGAAGCATGAGGAAGTGTTCATCTGCTATGGCCCCCATGATAACCAGCGGCTGCTCCTGGAATATGGCTTTGTCTCCGACTGCAATCCTCACGCCTGTGTTCCTGTCCCCGGAGGTTGGTGTCAGGTCCTGTTGTAGTAGAAGGAGGCTGGAAGGGCATCCTTCACTTACGGCTTCAGGGAACACTAGCCTTGCCTCTGCTGATTGGGATGTCTGTGTTGCAGTAAAGGCAGCAAAACTGATTGGTACTGAGGCTGCAATGAACTGAGAAGGTGGAGTGGGAGGAGAGCTACTTAGGAAGTGATTGACAGTCACAGCTTGGCGGATGCAGATATTTGTACTGAGCAGAAACTTAGTAAGCCCTCAGAAGCAGCTTCTAAGCCATGGGTGAGTGGCTGGAACTTTCTCAGCATTTATGTGTAGGCTCAGATGAATGTAGAACCTCTCGGAGATGCTGTCTACCCTCTAGGCAGAACAACCATTATGCTCTTAGATTAGAGATAGAAGGGCCTGAACCAGGCAGGGGGATGGTCAATGGGTAAAGGGGCTTGCCACCAAGCCTGATGGTATGAGTTCAATTTTCAGGACCTGCAGGGAGGAGAGGAGAGAACTGACCTCTGTGAATTGTCCTTAGGCCTTCACACGTGTATGTGGTGCACACACAACACGTAAAATAAATACGTGTAATAATTTTTTAAAAGGAAAATGAGAGCAGGGACTTGTACAGTGAGTCAGAGAGCCAGCTTTGAGATGGCCTCATTCGAGGTCCTCGCAGTTGCCGTACGATGGCTACATTTGGTTAGAAGTGGCCTGAGGATCAGCTCAGAGGCAGGACAATTGCCTGGCATCTGCAAGTCCCTCACTGAAGGAAAGGGAAGGCTCACTTTTGTCAGAATTATACCCAAAGCCCTGTTTTTGTTTTTGTTTTTATATAAAATGCAGAACTGAACCTATTATCGCGTCCAAACAGACATTGTTTGTTTGCTTTCTCCTTCAAAAACGTTTGTCGGTTTTCACACGTTCACGTGTGGCTGCAGCCACTGATTTGTGGACTGCTTTGCACTGGCTTGCAGACAGAGTTGCCATCCTTCCTCCCTGTGTTTCTGTGCAGCTTCTTCCTGGCTATGTCTCCCAGCAGAGGCTCTAGTGTCTTCATCTCCGCTTGTTCTACTGTGGATATGCTTAGTGGTGGCGGTGTGTGTGTGCGTGCGTGTGTGTGCTTGTGTGTGTGTGTGTGTGTGTGCGTGTGTGTGTGTGTGTGTGAACCTTGCTTCTCTGCATTCTGTCCTCAGCCTTGGACACCTTACAGCTTTTCAGGGACCTCGACCTCAGGAGTTGCCCTGAGGAGGACACTTGGTGTGGGTTAGGAAGCACTCTTGGTTATACGGGGTGGTAATGGGAGGAAGTCAGCTGGAGGGCATGCACTGAGTTCTGTCCTCCTCTGACAGCATCTTCTCTCTGACCTAGAGACGCTGGTTAAGTACCTCCCTGCAGCTGACAAGCAGGTGCACAGGAAGATGTCCATTCTGAAGGACCACGGCTTTACAGAGTGAGTGCTTTTGAATTTCCATGCAAACACTGAGGGTTCTGGTCTCTGTAGCTGTGAACCTCCTGCCTCTATATTAGCCGACAGCTGGGTATTTATTAGGTCTTACTGTGTGGTAAAGTTGTGCTTGGTGTTGTAGACACACATGGAGTAGACTGTGAGAGTCAAGCTTGAAATAGTCCTGTCCATGTGGTGAGGTGGGTCATGTTCAGGTGGGGTGACACTGGGTTATCATCACAAGACAGGCTGACCCCTAGCAGAACCCATCTGCTGGCATCAGGCAGTGAGAGTCAGACCCCAAACTCACCCTCTGACATCTCCTTTTCTGTATAAATCAGGTTTTCCATGGGTTGCAACGGTGTAAGGCTGCTGGCTGGGGTAGCTGCATGTTTGCTCTCTGGGATGACCCGAGGCCTCACTGTAAACTGTGTGGTGTGGTTACCAGGCCTCTTGCTATGGTCCCCTAAACCAGGTTCAATGTCTTAGAGAAATTGATTGGAAAATGACTTTTCACCCTCTCTTAGGATTACTATTGCTGTGATAAAACACCATGATCAAAAGCAGGCTGGAGAGGAAAGGGTTTATTTGGTTTATAGTTCTACATCATAGTCTGTCATTGAAGGAAGTCAGGACAGGAACTCAAAAAGGGCTGGAACCTGGAGGAGCTGATGCAGGAGCCATGGAGGGGTGCTGCTTGCTGGTTTGCTCTCAGTGGCTTGCTCAGCCTGCTTTCTTACAGAACCCAGGACCAGCAGCCCAGGATGGCAGGCACTCAACATGGACTGGGTCCTTCCCCAACAATCACTAGCTAAGAGCCTTATAGTCCTACCTATAGCTTGATCTTACTGAGAGATTTTCTTAATTGAAGTTCCCTCTTGTCCAGTGACCCTAGCTTGTGTCGAGTTGGCAAAACTATCCAGCATAATCCAGAAGAGTCAGAACACAAATTACATTGTGTGGAATGAACCACAGACTGTGCTGTACCCCAGCTTTAGTCATAGAATCCACAGACTCAGTATCTCATGGTGCAGAATTGTCTGTAATATGTCAATCATGTTTTAAATAGACGCTGATTGGCCAGGCAGGAAGTATAGGCAGGAAAATCAGACAGGAAGTAGAGGTGATGCAATGAGAACAGGAGAATTCTGGGAAGGAGGAAACTGATTCCTCCCAGTTCTGCCCAGACCACTGAAGAGGCAAGATGTAAACTGCCCCGCTGAGAAAGGTACTGACCCATGTGGCTAGCATAGATAAGAATAATGGGTTAATATAACTTATAAGAGTTAGCTAGAAGCCTGAGCTAATGGGCCAATCAGTTTTATAACTTATGGAGATCTCTGTGTGATTTTCTTTGGGGCTTGCTGGCTGTAGGGTACCAGACGGAACAGAAACCCCAACAAGCAGGCCTCCTCATGTTACAATCTCACACTATTTTGACCTTCGTGGAGGTGACCTAACATCTGTGCCCGGTTAAAGTCACTGCCAGGGTCCTTAGGTGTTCGCCGTGGTGCCATTTCTGAGTGCTGGATTTGCTGATGCTGGTCTTCTCTTGTAGAAATTTGACATTTGGATGGGATGGACCATCTTGGAGGCTGCTCACAGCTCTTAAGTTGCTGTGTCTGGAAGCTGAGAAGTTGTAAGTTTTACCTGCATTGTTTTTCTTTGTTTCTTGAGACAGGGTTTCTCTGTGTAGCCCTGGCTGGCCCAGAACTCACTGTAGACCAGGTTGGGCTTGAACTCAGAGATCTGCCTACTCTGTCTCCTGAGTGCTGGGATTAAAGGATCCTGCATTGCTTTTCCTCGGTGCCTGCTTCTTGGTAAACATTAAAGGCGTTTGTCTGGGGAGTTTGCAGTTAGAGGGCAGAAGAGCAGGCTGTGCCCTGGTGCTGCTGTTGGGAGTGCCCACCCAGCCTTTCAGAGTGCACAGTTCTGAGAACTTCACACTCTGGTGGTCAGGTGTCCCCGGGTGTCCCCTGGTGACCCGGTGCTGACAGTCTGAGTAAGTGACTGTGCACTGTCAGCATGGGCACACTGGAGGCACGTCTCTGAGTAGGTGGGTTTTCCCTGCAGCAAGCAAGTGCCTGACTATGCCGTCTGGTCCCGTGTTTCCCCCACCCCCAGTTCTCTCCTGGGGTTGATCTAGAAGCCCTGCTGAAGGGTTTTTCCATGAGAGGAGGCAGGTAGAGGAGCCCCAGTGTAGACATGCATCCTGGTTAGGCTCCTTAATATCCCTAAGGAACTATCCGTGGTTCTCAGAGCTGCCTGTCCATGATCATGGCTGTGCTCTGGTCTTCACTGGAACTCCTGCAGGCCCAGGACTGATTTGACAGCAGCTGCCTTACTGCTGCCCGGTATGTTGGACAAGTGTCTGGCAGTGTGTAGGGACAGCCCCGGTATGTTGGGCAAGTGTCCGGCAGTGTGTAGGGACAG